ATAGTTTGGCATTTTCCTTCTGTCTTCATTTTTAAAATATGGCTTCTGCGAATAACTCTCCTGATTATCTTCCTACTTATTTGTTCTAGTCTCCTTTATATATTCCTCGGTTATGCTCACCATATAGAACTGGGAGTTCTTTGAGATCATGTTCTGGGCTCTTTTCTCACTTTACAAATACTTCCTCAGAAATCTTAAATTCTCATAATTTCTATTACTACCTTCACACTGACTTCATTATCTTCATGAGCTGTTGATTGTTCACTATAGATTGTTTACTATAGGTCTCTTCTTGGGTTGTCCTTGCATTTCTCAAGGTTAGTAAGGCCAAAACAGGAATCTACTAGCCTGGGGTTTCGACCAACCACCTTAGGAGGTAAGCCAGAAATCTTGTTTTCCTCTTCAGCTCCTCAGTCCATTAAAACCACTACATTTTGTTGGTTTTTAAAGGTACTTCCTTATAGCTGGCTCTTTAATCCATCCCTTTATCTACATTTCTTTGCTGATTTATTTCAGGTTTTCTTTCTTCCTTGGATTATAAAAGCCTTCTAGACTCTCTCTTCCTAGTAACTTATGTTCGTTTCAGCCTTTCACAGCTGCCAGAATGATCTTGAAATAGAGTTCTGAGCTTGACAGTTTGCCATTTAAACTGCACCTCCAGGATAAAATTTAATACCACTAAAATCTCACACCCACCTTCCACTGTTGCCTCACACTCCCCATGTCCTGCCAACCAAACTAGTTACAATTCCCCAAGATACCTGTTAAACCTCTTCTTTGCCTCTGCATATGCAATACCTTCTACCTGGGTATTTCTGTTAATCTACATCTCCTTACCCGATTTTTCCTCTCGTGATAATAGCTAACATTTATGAAATTATATCATTTAACCTCCACATCCACCCAATTATGATGGATACTGTTATCTTTATTTTACAGATAAACAGGTATGAATAGATTATGAAATTTGCCTTTAGTTTCATTATTAGCTGATTTCGGATCTGACTTCTAAGTTCTGTACTACAATAATATTTTTTTCTCTTTTCACTCCATCTAGGCCTGTGTTTATAGTTTATGCAGTAGATAATGCTTGATTCTAAATCCAGATTATTAATCATGTTCTTGCCCAGCCTGGAATATCTTTTAATCTCTACTCCCATTTATTCTAATTTTACCAGATCCTGCTAACATCCAGTCTTTTCAAAACCTTCCTAATGACCATTACCTTCCATGACTTTCCTGTAGCAACTTTTGCTGTAGCAGTTAACAAAGGGTCATTTATGTCTGCATCATAATTTACTCTTATGTTTATATTATCTTCTTAATAAGATTATATGCTTTAGAAAATCAAAGATTTAGTTTTCTCCTGAGCATATTGCAGAGTGTTACCTTTATAGTATGTCCTCAATAAGTTATTGTCCAATAAGGAGTGAACTCAGTCATATGTTTTAAAGTATTTTTCATAAGATTTTAGAGCTGTACAGCCCCTTTAATGATGAAAATACAGACTTGCAATTAGGTAAATTATTTAATAAAATAATAAAGCAGTTAATTGAAAATGAAGTGTTTTTTGATTCCTGGCTACATAATTAAAAAAGTGTTATATTGAAATGCTGCCTTTTAATCTAACTAGTAGTTTTGATACATTAAAGTTCACATGAAGTTCTGTTCTATATATTTTTTATAAAACTGGATGTGGATTAAGCATGGTTCCAGAATTAAAATATACATCTCAATCACACAAAACTCTGTCTAGCATTTGTCTGCTTTTTGTTTATAGATGCTATAAGCAGGATCAAAGTAAGGGATTTTTTTTGGGGGGGGTAAGGTAAAGATTTCACTGATTTGGTAACTTTGCACCAATTGTGAAATATTTTCACTTAGTAATTTTACATCTGATGCCATAAACAATATCTTAACAACACTTAACCATTGTTTACCACATATATAAATGTACTGCCAGTTCTGTTAGAATACTCAAGAACCTTCTGGAGGAAATATTTTTCAAAACAGCTATTTCTAATAATTTCCCCAATATTACAGAAGAACCTCATACTGATTTTTTTGGGGGTAGGAACTTATTTTGAAAATAACTGTTCTTCAGAGGATGAATTTAGAAATCTGGTAAAAAATTTCAAGTGTGCCTGGGAAGATCCAGTAAAGTTTGATAGGCACCCAGGTGCATTCAGCCATATTTTTTTCTGTCAGGATAATCACAATTTACAGAGCAAGAGTAAGGAGACAATGAGTGAGGAACCCTAGGATTGAAAAATGTTTGAAAGGAATACGGTATTAAAAATATTTTTTGAATTTTTATATTTAATGTTTATTTGTGCAGTATACTATTTGTTTAACTAGTATTTACTGTGTGCTGGTTATTAGTCCAGGTCCTGGGGATACAGCAGTGGGTAAAATAATTTTAAGCAGGGTCATTTAAGTTCTTCAAAGCATTGCTGCTGTGTGGAAGATAAACTGAATGGCAGAGCAAAAGCAGGGAAACCAGTTTCAAAAGGCTTTTGCAATAATGCATCAAGAGATGATGATGGTTTGTCTTGGAGTGGTAGTAGCGATGGAGATAAGAAGTGGTCAGATTCAGATTATATTTTAATGGCTCAGCCAACACCTTGGGGCTTGAAATGAAGAAAATTGCAGAGGAGAACACTTAGAAATGAAAGAATTCCATTTTGGTGGTAATTTTGAGATGCCCATTATACACCTAAGTGGAGATGTATGGAGTTAAAGGTAAAGGAAAGGTCAGGGTGGAGAGTTGTCAGCACCAAATGGTGTTTCATGGCATTGGATGGAAGTGCAAAAGGATAAATGTTAAAAACAAAACAACGAAACAAAACTGGTATTCTCAAACCTCATCCTGAGAGGATGAGGAAACTAGAAGTAGCAGCTGCTGAAATAAAGTGGCCCTGGCTGGTGTGACTCAGTGGATTGAGTGCTGGCCTGCAAACCAAAGGGTCACCAGTTCAATTCCCAGTCAGGGCACCTGCCTGGTTTGTGGGCCAGGCCCCCAGTATGGGGTGGCACAAGAGGCAACCATACATTGATGCTTCCCTCTTTCCCTTTCTAAAACTAAAATCTTAATAATAAAGTGTATAGATGCCTGGTTAACGCAACGTTTCAAACTATACATACATGTTACAGTGTATTGCATTTATGGCTTATTTACAAATAAAAATTTGGAAGTATACTTTGAGGGATTGATCAAATGTTAAATGTTGCTCATACATAATAAAGATGAAAATTCAGATTGACAGGCAACGTAGAAGCCATTGGTGATACTAAATGAGCAGTAAAAGCTCACCCAACATGAAATAAATTAAAAAAAAACAGGAAGGAAAGTCAAGTGTAAGGAAATTTGTGTTTTATTTTGAAAAAGAGAAATAGAATGGTAACTAAAATCAAAGGAGGTTTGTTTGTTTAATGTGGGAATGTTTATATGCTGATGGGATGATTCAGTAAAGGGGAAAATCATACTGTACTAAGTGACATGCAAATAAGGACCTGCATCTACTTTTATGTGAATCTTTAGTTATTTTTGAAGAGCCATTGATGTCATATATGTGTGTGTACATATATTATATATAAAATCTGTGTGTATATATAATCAGTTTTCTGTTGGTTAGCAGTGTATCCCCTTTAAGCAGTCAGTCTGTGGGAATTGGTAAGAAATTCACATCATCTCGTTGAGAAGTTTACAATCTAATTGGCTAAATGGAGAAAACATAAGAAAGCACATACGACTTTAACAAGTTCAAACAATAGACAATCCACTTTTAAAAAATTGTATACTCCAACTATTGGCACCTGTCCTCAAGGATTTCCTTCAGTATGTAATGCAGATGGGGGAATAAAATCAGGTCCTTTCAGCCCTAATCCAGGGAAGAAATGAATTGGGTTATTTATAATGGTGAAGAAGAGAACTTGAATTGGAGACAGGTAACTTGATGGTCTAACCGTAAAGATTAGAAAGGATGATTTTAATATTACTGTTTGTCTACACATTTCACGTATGCTAAACCAAATGCTATGATATATGCTAAACCATATATCATCAGCTTCCTATTTGAAATGACAGCGGGTTAATTAGAAATGAGTTTGTCAGAAGGTTGAAAAGGTCTTTATTGTGGTATAGAGTATATATTTTTACTTTTATATATACTTGGGAGTGGGCGTAGAGAATAAAGACAGTTGCAGCATTATATAAGCAAGATCGATGCAGGACACAGTGACAACTTATCTGTACAATAACTGCTTTGCCTAGAAACTGCAGTATGGAAAGTGCCCTGCTGGACCCGAGGTAGCAAATCCAAATTGGCTATCCCATTTCTTGTCCCCAGTTGAAATATCCGCCACCCCACTCCCGCTGCCCTCTGGCGTTTTGAGAAATGAGAAAAGCTTCCACAAGCTCTGCGTAAGAGCTTCTTGCATGAGAAATTCTGCAGCATCCAAAGATACAAGAAAAATTGGTATTCCGACGCAGGTCTTCACAGCATCCTCTCAGCACAAGGAACAATAACGCCCTCAACAACAGCTTCTTCGGTGGAGAAAACTGAACACGTGTAAGAGGAGTTACCTTCTCTGTTCTGAATTTCATTCAGCTTCACAGCTTACAGTTCAGCCAGGCTAGTGTTCTTTCTGTCCCTAGACTGGCTCAAAGCTTGCTCAAAGTTTTACGCTCAAAGTTCTTGTTCAAAATAGACAATATTCTGGTCTCACACTAATTTTATCTAAGCTAGTTAAAAGAGTACTTAACACATCACTCCTCACATCCCTGATCTCAAAAGTCACTTCTAAGCCTTAGTCCCCGGGGCCAGCCGCGGGAATGGCGTCCGACAGGTCAAAAACGACATCAAGGAGCCAAAACGGCCAGCTGGCTAGAGCGGCCACAGCGCCTCGCTGCTTTCGCTTTTCATTTGCTCTCTACCGTTATGGAGCCTATCTCTTCCCGGAAATATTTGGGACGTTGACGTTTACGCAAGGCCAGAAAGTACTTCCGGTTCCGGTGTGGCGATAGCTTCTGGTGTTTCGTTGAGGCGTTTGGTGGGCAGTAGCTGAGCCAACATGCTGCGGAATCTGCTGGTGGGTGAGGAGTTTCTCGGCTTTCAGTCGCAGTGAGGGATGATGGGGTTGGCAGAGGAGGCTAAGGGGTCACGGACCACATAAAAGCCTGTTCGGAGAGTGAAGGAGGAGGGGAGAAGGCGGCTTCTTAAGTCACCTTGACCTGCGTCCTTTTTTCCTGACGTTACTCTCCCTTCCTGTTCCCTCGCTTCAGGCTGCGCTTGGTAGGTGTTGGGGGTGGAAAGGCTAAAGAAATGACTAGAGGGTTGTTGGTCAGCCAGCGTTGGTTTTCTCAGCCTCCCCCCCTCACTCTCAGGGCCCTGGATGAGTTCAGTAGGTCTGATTTTAGTTAAACCAAGGTCCAGGTGGGAAGTGGCTGATATACCCAGGAGCCTCAGACAGAAAGCTGTTCCTCTGCCATTGAAAGGCCTTAAGTTTCCGTTGGTTCTGAGCGTTGTGAGCAACAAAAGCAGTTTAAAGAGCTAGCCGTTGCATTTCCGATGGGACAGCAGCAGTCACGGCGGAAATGTACTGTTGCTTCCTTCAGACGGTTCTGCAGTGTCCTTCATCGCTCCACCGACTTTGAGCGTGTGAAATATTTTTTTCGGAATTTCCAAAAGGAAAAGAAAATGTAATAGTGACCGCTTTTGTAATAACTCAGTAAGATTTTGCTTAGTTTCTTAATATATTTAGAAAGTGAAGTGTGTGTTTAATTAAATTGGGTATATAGTGAAAGTCTTTAAAAATATTTATATCCTATCGCTTCTCGGCCTTTTGGCTAAGATCAAGTGTAAAAATATTTATATCCAATTAAGGATTTTTTAAGGGAAAAATGTAATGGGAGAAACAATTTTAATGCTAGTTATTTTGATATCAAGTAGTAGATTTTTAATATGATAGAGTATTAAATGAAAACATTTGAGCTTAGTGTATTTTGTAACCATTTTTTATTTTTGTAATATATAGCAGTATGATTTCCTCAAGGATTATATAATCATACTTGGTCAATTCAGGTAAAGCTCATGGGAATTTGGGTTTTTTGTCTTTTTCTTTTTTCTTGCTCAGAATTAGTATGAATTGCTTCTTGATTGTGGTTTTTGGACACTGCAGAATGTAATGTAAAGAACAGGATGAGCAACAAATTGGAAATCATGGATGTTGGTTTATAACTTTGTTAGTGACTAAATATGTTTTAACTTTCACTTTTCTTCTTCTGTAATTTAAAAGGTTAAACCATGGTTGGTTTAGAAGGTTTCTGTAAGCCCTAAGTCTGTTTAATACGAATGCATTTAACGTTGTAGGCTCTTCGCCAGGTCGCCCAGAGGACCATAACTACTGCTTCACGCAGGCAGTTTGAAAATAAAGTTCCAGAGAAACAAAAGTTATTTCAGGTACTGAAATATTTTATGAGAGATTGTTATTTATAATAATATGATTACCAAAAGGTGGAGATATGAATTAAACCTGGACACGTCTGATTATTAGTGATCCTGTTGTAGCAGCAAAAGAATAATAAGAAACTGTTTGTTGCTAGCTAACTGAGCATTTGTTCTATCCAGGAGGTCCTTGAGGAAGCAGAAGGGAGGAGAAAGGGTATATATAGGTCAGTGACTCTTTGGATGAGTTACATTGGGTTGACACTCTTTATGGTAGTTACACAGGAATAGGCAAATGAAACATAGGAATGGCCCATAAACAAATAAACAAACAAGAAATACATATAATATATGTTAAAGGTGCTATTCCTGAACAGGAATAGGATACAGTTAATTGGTATCGGAAAAATTGGGTGACAATTTTAAAGAAAGTAAAGTTAGATCCCTTCTATTTTTATATTAAAATATAAATTGCAGATATAAATGTGCCTCAAAAAAAATTAGAAGGAAACATAGGAGATATTAACCCCTACCAGTTTTGTTGAGGTATGATTGACAAAATTTGTATATAGTTAGGTTATACCTGATTTTTAAGGTATACAATCTGATGTTTAATGTGTTTGTGGTGATTTTCACAGTTGAGTTAATTAACACATCTGTCACCTTATGTAGTTACTTTTTTGTGTGGATCTACTGTCTACCACTTAAGACCTACTGTCTTAGCAAATTTGACGTATACAGTACAGTATTAACTACTATAATTGTGGGGGTGGGAAAACTTCCTAAGGAAGCTGTGATGGATAAAATTAGCAAAGTTTGATGGCATGAAAATTTTAAATGCATTTATGGTTACAAAAGACAAGTGACAAACTGGGAGCAAATTTTAAAAATATAACAAAACTTAATGTCTTTAGTATACGAAGAGTTTCTACAAATTAATTTGAAATGAAAATTAAAATTACAGGTTACTAATTTTTATCTACAATTGTCAAAATTTTAGAAAGATTTAAAATAGGTTATCTTAGCAAGGTGTGGGAGATGGGTACATTGATCCCAATACTTTGATACACGTTAGGTAGGTAGTGTAATTGGTGCAAAAGTTTTAAAGAGTATTTGAAACTATATCATTAAAAACAAATCACAATGTACCCTATCATCTAGGACTCCCACTTTTAAGAATCTTTCCCACAGAAATAGTAGCACAAGTATTTAAAAACAAAAAAGGCCAATCATTATGGGATTTTGATATCCCCAAACCCCAATAACCTAAATATGCATTAGTAGAGGACTTGCTAATTCAATTATTATATTTTACACAGTAGAATGCTAGTAGTCATTAAAAGGAACAAGGTAGGTTTAACTAACAATATTTTTCAAGGTAGAATTGAACAAAAAAGTAATATGTGGTAGATTATTATGTAGCATAACCTCATTTTGTATATAAGAACATATGTATATAAATAAGAAGATGCGCCAGTATAAGCATAAGAACATCTTTAAGGATATGTACAATGCTGTTAATAGTGGTTTTCTCATGAGGATAGACTTAGTGAGATAGAGTAGTTTACCTTTATAAGTAATTAGATTGTCCATGATTTTTTTTGTTTTATCGTGATCTCTAGTTTTTTGCAAATAAATTTTTAAGTGATTAAAATGTTGGATTATCTAAACTATTTATAAAAGTATAATGGTTATATTAAACATCTCTCTGTGCCAGGTGCTGAAATAAGGGCTAAGGGTATGATTTAGGGTTATAAACTAAAACTCCTTTTCTTTTCTTTTTTCTCTTCTTGTGTTTTTGAAAGAAAGAATCTTTTCTGTGACTGAATCTAGAGTGTGATGGTTACTAATATTTTTAATAATTATGTTGCTGGATTCAATGTGTATATTTTCAGAGCATTTAACATTTATATTTTATATGTTTAATGGGAAGAACATCTTTATTGGATCTGAAATTAACTTTAAAGAATGTCAATTTTAGAAGTTCTCATTTTAAAAGTAGTAGTAGTAAAGAATCAGGAAAATTGGAATTCTTTTTAATTTTGAAATGTAAAATATTTTAATTCCAAGGGTTGAAGGAGCCACTTAATTTTAAGTGAGTAGATTAGCCTTTTGAACTTAGTTGGAAACAAATGATATGTATATTATTTATTATTATTATTTTTTTAACCTAGGAGGATAATGGAATTCCAGTGCATCTGAAGGGTGGGGTAGCTGATGCCCTCCTGTATAGAGCTACCATGATTCTTACAGTTGGTGGTAAGACATTTGAAATGCTTGGTTTATAGAAAAGTAATAGTATAGGTAACTAACAATTTTATTGCTTTTACTGTGCCGGTATTTTTTTAAAAATATTTTACTTATTTATTTTTTAGAGAAAGGGGAAGGGAAGGAGAAAGAGTGGGAGAAAAACATCAGTGCGCGGTTGCCTCTCACGTGGTCCCCACTGGGGACCTGGCCTGCAACCCAGGCATGTGCTCTGACTGGGAATCGAACTGGTGACCCTTTGTTTCGCAGGCCCGTGCTCAATCCACTGAGCTACACCAGCCAGGGCATTGTGCTTTTTAAAATATTTTTTGTTGTGTATTAGGTAACATTTTTATTTTATTTTAATATTTTACTTATTTATTTTTAAATGGAGGGGAGAGAAAGAGTGGGAGAGAATCCAGGCATGAGCCTGGACTGGGAATTGAACCAGTAAGCCTTTGTTTCACAAGGCGGTGCTTGATTCACTGAACTGCACCAGTCAGGGTAGATTTATTAATATGATTATGTGTTTCAAGCATATGATTCTATAATACATCATCTGTATAAAGCATTGTGTTAGGCCAGTATTTTAACATATGTAGTCTGTTTCTAGAATATGAGATCTTACTCCTTTGCATATAAGTATTCAAGAAGATGATTGCTACACACTGTGCAAGAGCATTTTAATGTCTTTAAAACTGTACTGATAAAGTTTGATGATTACCTTCTGATAGATGTGGCTTTCCATTGTGCCACCGGTGGCCTTACAGGCCTTTGGAGGAACCGACACACCCACTCTACCCCACACCATCCACCCTAAAGGGCTTTTCAACATTTTGACTGGAATGCGTAATAAAAACATTTTACATCTAAATTCTGTACACACATTTTTATGACAAAACCTGTACATGTAAATACTGATTACTATATGCAGAAATGCTCTGACTTTTTTCCTATGGGTTGGGCAGGTCCATTATTCAGTATTAATTAGCACGTGGAATACAAATTGGTATGCTAGGAGCAGAGTTGGGAATTTGAATGATTGCTCTCTGGGGGAGGAAGGAAACCACTTTGAGTGATTACTGTGTGTTTATCTATTGATAGGAGTGCCACGTATGGATTTCTGTAACCCTTGTATTAAATCCATAATATATTCTTATTTTAAGATGAAATTATGTTCTTTACTCAAGGTAATATTGCTTCTCTGTGGAAAAGCTGGGATTTGAGCACTCATTACAAAGTCCCTCTGCTCATGCCAAGGTGCCTTTGGCGTGAATTGAATAGAGTGAAGGGGTGTTTAAGGATGGAGACAACAACCAGATAGTGACATTGGGATTTCTTCAGATAAAGTCCTACATTTTTTTTTTTGTCCAGTGTGACTGTTTCTTAGACATTCTGGTTAATTAGTTTTAAAAATAAATTTCTAGTTATTAGACCTTCTTACATTAAGTTTGACGATTTTAAAGTTATATATTACTGTTTCTTGGTTTTTAACCTTGATAATACATTTTAGGAAAGACTTGTGTATTTTGACTTCTTTATTGGCTTTTAAATCATTCTTAGCATTTTTCAGTCAATTTTAGGTAAGTATGTGTTTCAAAGCATATTTAAACATTTTTTACATGTTATTAAGTTGACAGATACATTATTGAGCTATATCTAGCACTTTGTATAGATATGAATTAATATTGAAACTAGACTAAATATATATATGTATATATACACACACATTTTTAACATTTTGCTAGCATCTATCAACATATTTTTTTCATTCTCATAAGAGTAGTTTTATTGCCAACCTTGCCTTTATCTTACAACTTTTAGCTGAAATATTAGGGTTGTACATTTAAATCTTAGAACTTATTTAAATTCTCCTTTTGTTTCTTTTTATTTTTAGGAACAGCATATGCCATATATCAACTGGCCATGGCCTCACTTCCCAAGAAGCAGAATTGATTTTAGTTTATTCTCCCAGCAATCAGTTGGGTCAATTTCATTCAGCTCTCTTATCAACCAGTAAGCTGATTAATAACTGAGTTCTTCTTTGGGGATCAATATTTATTGACTTGTACTAACTGCCACCAATAAAGCAGTCTTTACCATGCTTTGTCTTATTTTATCACATTCTAGGATTACATATATCAATAATTTTCAGGTTTTGGTCGGTCTTAAAAATTTTAGATCAGGAACAAAAAATTATTTTGTCATTAAGGTATATAAAGTACAACTGTGAAATTATTTTAGTGAAATTTTATTTTTAGCTCAGAATTACATAGTGGATGGTCGTCAGCTTTAGTCAAGCTTGACACTTGAAGTCCCTGCCCCTGACCGTCCTGTGTCCTGGGATATGCTAAAGCCTGAGGTTAGTGGAAGCAGGCTGTTTTTGGTTCATGAGATTCAAGTTTCTTTTCTTTCTCTTTCTTGGCTATGTGAGTATATACTTAAATTCAATAGAATCTACTTTAGAATTTGGCTTTAGTACAGCTGTAAAATAATTCAGTACTTGACCCTTTTTCACACTCAGTGGGTTTTTATTATTTTAATGCATATCATAATGTGTAACTTTCCTTACATAGTTCATTTCTAAAAATTGGCTTATAAGGGAACTTAAAGGGGTTAGACTTTATCATCTTTGCAAGGTGTACATTTGTAATACTATATAAAGATAGGTGCATCAGATCTAGGGGAAACCTATAAGTAAGGGTTTTATAGTAAACTGTAATATGCGGATAAAACTGGTAAAGTTAGTGTATTTTTAAAAATTTATTTATTTTTAGAAGGTTAGGGAGAAAGAGAAGGAGAAAAGTATGAATGTGTGGTTGCCTCTTGCATGTGCTCTACTGGGGACCTGGTTGGCAACCTAGGCATGTGCCCTGACTGGGAATCGAACCTGCTATCCTTTGGTTCGGAGGCCGATGCCCAATCCACTGAGATACACCTCTAACATCAGCAAAGAACACTCCTTTTGAAAAGAATGGAATAAATACTAGACACTTCTAAATGCTGAGAAAGTTCTTAAGATGGTCTGGAATCTTGTTTAATTCAGTGATTTGGAGCTAAAAAGCAATCACAATATTTTAAAACAAGCTATGTTTATTGGCATTTTACAATGAATTTCATAAACATGATTGAAATGTTTTTATGACGTGAGAGATACTGTTGTAAAAGGAAAAACAACTTGGTAACCTCTGCAACCTTCATGTCTTGATATTGTGAGAGGTGATTTACTATTTCTGGTGTAACCTAGTGAGGCAATTTTTGAAACTTTTTTATGCCTAAATGTTTTTGTTTGGGCATTGTTGACATGGCAAACTTGGATAAACTAAAAGTAGTCTAAATGCTTAAGATACTTTGGGTTTTTTTGCCTTTCACCTTAAAATTCTGCATTGTAAACAGGAGAGGAGATGGGGAAGTGGATGTGGGGCAAGATTGCTGGAGAGGGTTTGAGAACCCTGTGAAAATGTCTGCTGCACTTAGCATTTAGTATTTACTATTATTGATAGATTTTAAAGACTAACCGAAAGAGTTAGAACAGAGAACAGAGTCCGTAAGAAATATTGTATAGAAAGTGTGACCATCAGGAAACAAGAAAACCATCATGCTAATCTCTTTTTTATCTTACCACAGATTTTCCTTTTGATGGTTAGTATCTGTTACTAAATAGAAGAAATTCCATGATGATATTATCCCATTAATATAAATACGATGGGAGGGAGGTATATTTAAATGAGACTTGTTAAAATTGGTACTATTCACAAAATTACATTTGTATTCTGTAGCTCTTCTAAATGAAATTAAACCGTATTTACAGATGAAATAAAACTAAAGCTTGGAGAGGGCTTGCAGTTTATACAAAGCTACAAATAAATGGCAGTACAAGATTTCAGACCCACTTTTATCTGATTCCTTAAAGTTCATGGTCTTTCTAGTGTATTTTGTCTTACCAGGTGTTTAGTTAAATATTTACTGGCATAGCTTCAATACACTGTTAATAGCAATATTAATGCAGATGTGACTACCTTACAGACTTGCATCCCCTGTAGTGAAGCTTAAAAGAGCGATCAGTACAGTCTCCAGTTCCATATTCAGTTTTATGTTCTTTTTACATAATTTTCAATTTACCTGTTTAACATTAGTCTCTTCCACGTTATGCTAGAGATCCAAAGTCAGTGCTCTTTCCACTAACCTTATATCTCTGCTGCTGCATGGTGCGTGCATACTTCCTAACACCCTGGGAAAGCTCCCCGGATTCTGCTGGAACCTTTGAGATTCTCCTCTTTGCTCTTTGAATGTTCCCTGTACTTATGTTTATCAGGAGTTTCATTCCTTTGAATTGGAATTCCAATTTGAATTTTTGGTAAGACTGAGAACCAGTATAGCATTGTAGTTAATCACATATATGATGGAGTCAGAAGACCCAGCTTCCAGCCTCAGATTACTGTGGGCAGCTAACCTTGCCAAGCCTGTATCCTCATCTCTACAAATGAAATAATATCGAGAGCACATAGTTAATGCTAGTGCATGTAAAGCACAAAGGATGGTTTCTGACACATACCCCTTGTGCAGTAAATGTTGGGTATGTCTGTTGTTAGCTCTGAGAAGGGAACTGTTTTTCAGCTCATCTCTGTGCACTTGGCACAGGGCAGGGATTTAGGGCTGATTAGGGCTGGTAGGACAGGTTCACAATTTCATTCACATGCTAGGTGACTTCTATGTTTTGGCTCTGTTATCCCTCACGTATGGCTTTTATTCTTGTAAGATGGTCGCTGCAGCTCCAACTGTTTTGTTTGTTTTTTCCGTAGGAGGAAGGATCAGTGATAGAGCACATGCTGACTTAAGGGAGCTCTTGAGGGGCTGTAGAAGCCCCTCACAAAGACTTCACCTTATCTCTTTGGCCAGACTTTTATCACACGATCATGCTTGGATTCAGGGAGGCCAAGAAATGTTTTAGCTGAACATATTGCCAAACAAAATTGGAGTTGTGTTTAATGAGAAAGGGAGATTGGATTCCCATGTATTTTCTTACTGATTTTTGGGAGAGCAGAAGGGAGAGAAACATTGATTCGTTTTTCCACTTATTTATGCATTTATTGGTTGATTACTCAATGCGCCCTGACCAGGGATAGAACCTGCAACCTTGATGTATCACAAGGATGTTCTAACCAACTGAGCTACCAGGCTAGGGCTGAGATTGGGTATCTAGTTGGCAACTAACAGCCAGTTTTTTAAAACAATGAAGTCACTTTGGTTGGGTAGCTGTTTGTTAGACCATCATCCAGATACGCCAGGGTTGCAGGTTCAATCCCTGGTTGGGGCACATACAAAAATCAACCGGTGAATACATAAGTGAATGGGACAACAAATTAATCTTTCTCTTTCTCCCCCTTTCTCTGTAAAACCAATACATATGAATTTTAAAAAACGTAAACACTGTGGACAGAGGACCTAGAATCGTTTCAATTCCTAGTTCTAGTTTCTGATGCCCACGTCCATACATGTTCTTAGACTTGGTTGCCTCCCAGTAGCTAATAATTTCTTGTTTAAGTTAGCCGTAGGTAGCTTTCTCAGCCAGGAACCAACCAAAGCAGGATTTCCTGAGTTTTCTGCTTAACCATCTAATGAAACCACAACTCTATCATTTACCCTAAACAAAGTTAGGTACTTTAAAAAAGAGAAGCTATTACTGGTTTCTTATAGCAGGAATGTTTAAAAAAGATTTACTTGGAGAACACGAATGCAAGTAGACGCAGAGAATACAGGAATGATAAAAAGAATTACGCTGCCGCTGTAGCTGCAGCTAGTTTGCTTCAGGTTTGCAGAACTTGCCTGTTTGATGGAGTTATATACAAGTTCCCCAAAGCTGGCAATTTCACAAGTATCTAGCTTCAGACTCCCTCTTCCTGTGTCTTAGTGTGCATTCATGTGGAGAGCAGCATCTTGTGTATGCTGTCTTCTTGAATTCTGAGATTATATGACCACCTTTTTTGACCTCCTAACCTGTAGGATGTCATTTTCCCTCTGGAGAGTTGCTAAAAAAAGGAAAAAAAAGCGGTCAGCATTAATCTTTTTTTAAAAATTTTAATTAATTTTATTTAGTTTTATTTATTTTTCAAGTACAGTTTTTTGTCTATTTCTCCCATCCCAGCCTCCCCCGCCCCTTGCTCCCCAGCTCCCTCCCATTTCCACCCCCCTTAGTTCTCGTCCCTGTGTCCTTCCTATTTGTTTCTCCAAATCCCTCCTCCTTTTTCCCCTTAACTTCCCTTCCTACTCCTCTCTGGTCACTGTCCCCTTGTTCTCTATTTCAGTGTCTTTGTTGTTTTTTTTTTCCTACTTGCTTGTTTATTTTGTTGTTTAGCTTCCTGTGAAAGGTGAGATCATATGGTATTTGTCTTTCAGCACCTGGCCTATTTCACTCAGCATAATGCTTTCCAGTTCCATCCATGTTGTTGCAAAAGGTAGTAGCTCCTTCTTTCTCTCTGCAGCATAGAATTTCATTGTGTATATGTACCACAATTTTTTGATCCATTCATTTACTGATGGGCACCTAGGTTGCTTCCAACTCTTGGCTATTGTAAATTGTGCTGCTATGAACATTGTGGTGCATAGGTTCTTTGATATTGATGTTTTAGGATTCTTAGGATATAATCCTAGCAGTGGAATTGCAGGCTCAAAAGGCAGGTCGATTTTTATTTTTCTGAGAAAATTCCATACTGTTTTCCATAATGGTTGTACCAGTCTGCAATCCCACCAACAGTGAACTAAGGACCCCTTTTCCCCACACCCTCTCCAACATTTGTTGTTTGTTGCTTTGTTTATGATAGCCATCCTGACTGGTGTAAAGTGGTATCTCATTGTGGTTTTAATTTGCATCTCTCTGATAGCTAATGATATTGAGCATCTCTTCATGTGTCTCTGAATGTTCTGTATGTCCTCCTTGGAGAAGTGTCTGTTCAAGTCCTTTTCCCATTTTTTAATTGGGTTGGGTGTCTTCTTAGAGTGGAGTCGTGTAAATTCTTTGTATATTTTGGAGATTAAACCTTTGTCTGAGGTATCATTGGCAAATATGTTTTCTCATACAGTTGGTTGTCTTGCTAATTTAATACT